TCATAATAAATGTTGGTAACACGTTGTTTTCAGTAAATTTATCTGAATTGATTCATCTTTTCATTAATATATAATAAGTTTTGTTAAATTAAACTTTATTTTATCGTCATTTAATTCATTTGGAAAAATAAATAAATTTGTTTCAATATCTTCTTTTAATCCAAATTTCTTGACATTATAAGCAAAGATGGATTGTGGCTAGTAGTGGAATCCAGGATGCGCGTTTCGGCTTATTCGGGACTCGTCAGCCAGATGTATCTGCATCTCAGATTTGATTTTCACTCTAGGACTTGAACCAAGAACCAATTACTGCAAACGCCATCACATTATTCACTCAGCTACTGAGCCCTGATAGCCACTTCCTTGTACAATGGGATGAATCTATATTCACTTGGTGTTGTTAACTTGTATCTCCCCATTGTTATTTAGGAATCCAATTGATCAGTCTCTTGTTGGTATATGTGCATCCTGTGAAGATTGCTTCAATATTGCCTAAAGTCACAAGCTTTATTAGCAAGGATGGACAGTGGCTAACCGTGAAATCCAAGATGAGGGCTTCGTCTGATTTGAGAGATTGATCAATTTCAGTTTTAGATAACAATGGGAAGATATAAGTAAACAACATCTAGTGAATATTCTTGATTTTACATTACGTTTTTCTGTTCATGACTGTTGGTACAGTTTATTTTTAACTTATCAAAACCAAGTAATGAATCTGTAGTGGATAAATTTGTTTTCTGTTTTCATAATGAGTGAATTTTTTATTCATGGGAAAAGTGAATTGTAAACATTAATTGTTTTTAATGCAACATATCAAAAACATACAACAATAACTTTATGAAATGTGCACACTACTTTAAGCAAATATGGATAGTAGCTAGCAGTGGAATTCAGGATGCATGTTTCGTTCCATTTAGGATTTGTCAGCTGGATGTACCTGCATTCTAGATTTCATGCATACTACTTATATACAACTATTTATAGGAAGTTAATAATAATCTTCATCCGTCAACAATGGCCGGTGGATTGCATACCTAAATATCTACATTAGTTGAATAAAAATCTTTACAAAATGCCTGTCTTAATAAAAACATCGTTCGCAAATAAACAATGTTAACTATTTGTATTAACGTTATTGTATAAAATGAAATCTACAAAGATCCTAAATCATTGAATGTTAATGGATGCAAATTCTATAAAGCTTCGATTTTTCATGAAAAAAATCCATTTGAAAGAATAAATGAGACTTTTGATTAGTTAAGTTTAATTTATAATCGTATTCGGAAGTTTAATAAAGAATATTCATGTTTGTTAAATGTGTCATGAATTTAAAGACGGAATTCCTTGATGATAGATGAAAAGTGAAAAACAGTAAGACGGGTTAACATACAATATAATATAACGTCTATAAAATATTCATAATCCAGTAAGAAATGTGTTATATCGATTGCTTGCATGCCCTGTATAATATATAAACGTGCTGATTCCCATCAATCAGAGAGGAGTGATTTTAACATTTGTAACAAGATTTGGCCAAATGTGGCTGTGAATAGGGGTAACAGTAATTAATAGATTGGGGATAACTCAGGAATCGTAAATCGTACAGTAATAGTCTGTCGGTCGAAATAAAGCTTATAATAAGAGGGACACGAATGTGAATAATTTAGTTACTTAACAATTACACAATAGGAAATATACATATCTCATTGGTCCATAAATAGTCCTCAAAAGTTACCATCCAGAAATCTCCACGGGATATAACAAAATGTACAATCAACAAATTAATGTAGCATTTTAATGTAAACAAAATTAACTAATTTGTGCAAACCTTTCAACCTTTCCAATTAGACATTTGAATATAGAAACGATTAAATGAACTGATATCGGTAAAAGTTAACAAGCAGAAAAAACTTAAAGGGTCATGTAAAATATTCCATTAACGAAAAACCCCCATAGATATAGAAGTGTCTGATATGGAAACAATAATAACAGGATTAATACTAGATTAAACATTAGATAAGAACAGAGAAAGGATATGTGATGTTTATATGTAAAATTCAGATTTTATCTAATAGATAACCACAACTTTTGTTATTTTAGGTTGAAAGGAAGAAATCTATTTAGAATTAGATGAAGCTTATAAAAATAATAAGTTATGAAAGTCAATAAAATGTTCGAATATCAAACTTTTAACCAATTCAATCTCACCCTTATAGAATGTAGATGAAATGTATTTTTCTAAGTATATCAAAAGTGAAATTCTGACTCCGGATTACGAACATTAATCGTATGATTTAAGTGAATTGGTTAATGTAAACAGACGCAAAAAATAAGAAAATTCATCTTTGATATTTACTTACTATTGAAAATAAAGTACCATTCAAGTGATTTTTCATAGTGAAAGTATTTATCTCCACTGCTAGCCACTATCTATCTTTGCTTATAAAGCTTGTCACTTAAGGCAATATCGGGGCAGTTCGCACAGGATGCACATATACCAACAAGAAACTCATCAATTGCACTCCCAAATAACAATCGGAAGATTCAAGTAAACAATGCCAAGTGAATAAAACTTAGATATGGTTTATAAATCAGTCCTTAAGTTCAGGTTAATACATTTATGGAGATTGTAGAGTAATTGGTTGTCAAACAAGATACTCATTGAATATTTACAATTAATCCAAATTTAAATAGAATACAGCGTATAAGCATGTTGATAATATTCTATTTTCAGAAAATGGTTCTGTGGATATAGTAGTAATTTAATAGTTGAATTCATTGCTCGATTAAAACTAAACCATCATGGGAGTCCTAGAAGCACTGAACGGCCGTTTCGTCTAGATGCGAGACTCTTCAGCAGTGCGATAGCTTCTTGTTAGAACTGTTTCATCATTTCTAAAAAGTACTTTCTTACCTTTTAATATTAATATGCTAGAAAGATTCATACCCACTTCCAAATACCATTTTTCTATTAAATAATGATGTAGTTTCCACATTTTTATTCATTTTTAGAAAAGCTGTTGTACACATGAGATTTTGTCATAAAGGTTATCCTTCAGTTATTTGTAATGCAGTTCAATCTTTACATTTATTGACATTTGTTTATATATTTCTAAATTATTATGTAAATATATGTATTTCTACAGAACACAACAATTGGTTAGATTACTTATTAGATAACTGATGAATTAAAGTTGAATTAGACTCTCATTAAAAAGAAACAACTTTATAATAATTACGAATTATACTCTAACTTTGTGACATTTTCCATACGTTTCCCTAATTTGACCGTTAGTACCTAACAACAGACATTATGTTTTAAAGTTTTTTGAAGATTCTTTAATTCCAAAGTAGTTTGGACTAAACGATTATATAAATAATATGAGTGTACTCATCATCGACTAATTTCCAAAAGAATAGCACTCCAGTTTAAAGGAAGTCCATATCATGTCGTTCAGCATGACAACGAGATCTTGATAATTAATCCATCTAGTTGACAAAATGCAACACTATCAAAATAATTCACGCAAATTATAAATCCCAAAGATAATCTCAAACATAATTTCAATCGCAGGATCAATCAACCTGGGTTATGTTGACAGTAAATGTTGTCAATTATGTTATGTGATAGTCATTAAGCACTATGAATAAATTGAAGATAACTATATAAGCCAATGAAATTCAGTTCACTGGTTTTAAGGAAATGGGCATAATTTAAAAATGAATAGTCCTGCCACTTTTGTGTTTATGACTAGACACAGCTAAAGAGTCTAGAAGACTACAGAAAAAAATCTTTAGTTCTCTTTAGTTTCCAATAGTTCTTGAACTTACGTTGGTTCATTATAAGATCTATCTACACATATCTGATATTAATTATTACTTCGGCATTCATTAACTGGTGTTAACTAGTGTTCTGGTACGGCCGAGAGTGGGAGATTCCACTCCTCCTCTCCAAATGCTCTCACATGGCCATGAGTATATAACCTCTGTTAGGGAAGTCCTACTCACTACCTTCCCGTAACGGTGTTGTTTACGAAATTGAGAGGACGTAAGGCGAATGTCCGGCACTTTAACCAGGTTGGTGGACACGGATAGTCCACCTAGGGGAGTTGGAAAACCCTGGATTCAAACCAATGGTGCACATGGGCTCCAGTATCCTGAGGGAAGAAATGGTGTATCAATCAATTGTTGGTCACCGGTTACCATGAGACTGCATCTCCTCACGATGCACCACTGCCTTGTGGATCAGACCTTTAGATCAAAGACTCCGGGTGTGGCCCTTCAAGAAAACCATTGTATTTATAATCAGTTGATCGCTATGTTAACTAAACGTTTCAGTCAAATAAACAACAATTTTGAAATCACTTAAATTCAAATTAAAAGAAAAATTAAACCATGTCAAGTTTTTTTTGATAGAATTAGCCAAACTATCTACCGAATTATAAAATTCCTTATCAGATTCATTAATAACCATTTGATGTAAATTTTTAAAATATTGAAAGTGTTTATTTATAATTAAACCAAAAATTTCAAATATTGTTTATCCAAATATTTTCTTACTCATAATTTTATGAAAATGGGGAAAAGTGACATTTTGGAGACAAGAATAAGCCTATTTTTTTCTTAAAAAAAACAAACAAAAAAGAGCAATTTAAGAAATTTTCGGATCATTTTTTTACCCTACCCCATTAATAAAATCATCCCTGTTATATATATCATCTATTTCTATGCCAAAAAGAAATTAAAATGACTTATGTTTGTTTGTTAAATATCATAGTTGTCCAAATGACAATTAAACGCTTAATAAAGATCATATATATATATATATATATATATATATATATATATATATATATATATATATATGAAAAGTAGTTTCATGAATATCTGTGTAGTTATTGTTTGAATTGGCATTAACAGTTTTTTTTTCTTTTAAAAAGTATACATCTGTATCTATGTATGCTTTCTTCCTTGACATAAAATATGTTTTCTCATTTCAGAGAGGAGAAAATGTTAGAAAATACAGAGAAGAGGTAAGTTTGTTTTTTCTAAAAAGAGAGAATTCTATGTATAAGAATACGAATGTTTTAAATGTTTAAATACATCCCATATGGGAAGGGGATTTTGTGGAGATTTTAGTAATTTTATAGAGTTGAGATCATGAATCCATTGAAACTAGACCACTATGGAAAACCTGGAAACCCCAGACGGCCATTTCGTCTTATTGTGGACTCCTCAGCTGTGCTCATTCACGATCCCACCTCGCAAAATTTGAACTCAGGACCTATCAGTTTCGCGAGGCGAGACCGTGGATGCGCACTACTGAGGAGTCTCACAATAGAATGAAACGGCCGTCCAGTGCTTCCAGGTTTTCCAATATTATTATTATTATTAATGGCTTTATTCCATGGTGGTTTAGTTTCAATTGACTAATGATTTCAACTATATAATAGTATCCCATATAGATTTAGATAATGATTTAAATGAATAACTGTAGAAAACCTTATTAATTGCAAAAGATACATATTTATGTTGTTCTGGTTTTATAGTCTAAAGTGTTAATGCTATCAAAATGAAACGAATTCAAGACCTTCAATAATTCACACGAACCCTTAACCTCTAGACAACTGAACAAGGTTCTGACAGTATTTGATTTTAAGTTTGATCATGCAATAATATTGTACAATCAATTTCCATTGTCTTCAGTAGGTCCGTTACACAAATATGAAATGTTTATTGATCCCAAATAAGTTAAACAATCTTCGTAAATAACTACTGATAATTAAAGATATTGTTCAGCAAACACGTTGTATTATTGTATGTAAAATTATTCACGAAAGATTATAGGACAAATTCCTTTATACAAACTCTAGATAAACTTTAAAGTACTCACAATGATATGTTGTAAGTAATTACGGGAAATTCAAATAAATGATAAAGAACCGTCACCACTCAAAATAAGATATATATATCTAGTGTTTGACTTTTTAATTAAATCCTGCTCTTATGGGCTGTATTGACCATATTCTTAAATATGTACTATAGCCTATACTAAGATGTGATAACATTTGTTTTCAGTGTTAGCTTCGCCTTGCATAGTCATGGTCGTCTATATTCAAATACCTAATATACATATTACTGATAGAGGTTAGATAACTCATTGACTTTATTATTTTACCTACATGAATGTTTTACTGTAGTGAACAGAAATACGGGTGTATTTAAGCACAAATTACAAACTATCTCACTTAATTCTGATAACCGTACAGTAAACAGTTAATTTGCGAAATAACAAACAATTATCCCAATATTAACTGATCTTTCTGCAAATATCAGTCCATCTTCTCTGATTTCATTGTTCATGCATTTTCCTACCGATCGAACTTCGTTCCTGCTCTTTCTTATCGATCTTCTGCCAAAATACATTCTATGTCTGACCATCACCATATACTACTTATGTGGATATAAGTAGACCATACCACACTATAATAAATCAGCTATTAATTTCATTTCAGTTTTGTTTATATGTTTGTTTTGTAATAAATTATTTCAGAGTGGAGCCAGAATCAATATATCAGATGGATCTAGTCCAGAAAGAATTGTCACTATAACTGGAACAACAGAACAAATTTATATTGCATTTACATTAATGAGTCGTAAATTTGAAGATGTAAGCCAAAAAATATATTTCATTATATTTGATTTAATCAGAAATGTTTATTAAATCAATTACTTCATGTATATAATGATATTCTGTAATATGTTCTGCTAGCACTATATGTGAATAAGAGTTAGTAAGTAGTTAATCAGTATTCTTAAAAGCTTCAGCTAAATATTTTACTAAATTTTAATGAAAGAAATTAATAAGAAGTACAAACGGATGCTAATAATTTGGCATGTTTATTTCTTGCACAAAACAATAAACGATCTTGTAGGAAGTCATGTAGCATTTGTTGTTTGACAAAAACGTTGAAAGATGTTATGGTTATTAAAAGTAGGTGGAACATAAATGGAATCAATTAAAATTATCTCGCCATCCTGCAAATGTAAATGTCCCACTTTAATTATCATTACCTAGTATGATATGCTTGGTTGGATGCATCCTATATAGTGTTCGATGATCTAAGATAGTCTTCTTTAGATATAATACCAGGATTTCATAGTTTTGTTTCGATATTTTGATGAACAGCATTTGAAGGAATAACAATAATAACAATTCCCTCTTCGAAATTCCTGATAAAATATTTCGATATATATTTTTATGAAAATTTTAGGATTTTACACAGGGTTTATTACGAATGGGTGATGAAACAGCCAACTGTCCTCCAGTGACCTTACGTTTATTAGTTCCAGTAGCTCAATGTGGTTCAATAATTGGTAAGGGAGGATCTAAAATTAAAGACGTTCGTGAGGTAAGATAATTAATTGAATTTTGTGATATATTGTCTAATTCTTGATATTTTATTTGATTAGGTTTTAGTGAGTTTCATTTTGTGGATCAAATAGTGATAATGGTTATTACTTTGGATTAGGATTTTTATTATTTTCTTTCAGTTTGGTCATTGAGAATGGTTCGAATAGCCAAGGCGCTGTGTATGATTCAAAGTCGAACACTATAAGATATAGTTAGCAAACACGATACATTATTACAACATGTATAACACTGTATTTATTTTAATAAAATGTTCGATAGAATTTTATTTAAATCGCTAAAATGTCCACCTATTCTTCATTTTCTGATGATATGATCATTAGGATTTCAAACATTAATTGTTTATGGCTAGTGTTATACATCATTCGTTTGATCTATTAATCTCATCACAAATGACAACCCTTCACCAAAATTCAAATATAATTATTCCAGATCACTTCTACATTAGACAGTAAGATGACATGTATCATTGACGATGTATCATATCGCCAAAATTTCCCATATCTTTTGAGATTCTTGAGAATTGAAATTTATAATTTACATTATTTCACCGGTCATTCGGGTCTAAATGTCTAGATTCTCACTGATAAATAAAATTAAAATACTCGTGAACTGAGATAAGATAGTAGTCGATCATGTCTCCTGGTTTTCAATACTTTTCTGGTTAAAATCAGTCCGTAATCTGTCCTTATTCAGCAGTGCCGTTATGTTAACTAAACTGAAACTAAAGACAAATCGATACTTATTTGATAACAAAGCAATTAGAAGTATTTTGCTCCTGAAATTCATGTGACATGAAGTATCATTGAATGGACGAGTTAAATAAAATGTTATTATTCACTTAGTATAGTCTGTTTGAATCTTCCCATTGATGTTTAGAACTGCTCAGTCTCTTATTGGCATATGCGCATACTGTGCCTCGATATAGCCTCAATTCACAAGCATTATAAACAAAGATGGATAGTGGCTTGCAGTAGAATCTAGGACGCGCGTTTCGTTCTATTTGGTACTCGTCAGCTGGTTGTACCTGCATCTCAGAGTTGATGTTCACTTTGGAACTCGAACGCAGTACCTTTCGCTTCGAACGTCATCGCGTTATCCACTCAGCTAGAACAAAACGCGCATCCTGGATTCCACTGCTAGCCACTATCCATCTTTGCCTAAAATGTTAATATTGTATATAATTAATATAAAGAGACCAAAAACAGCGTGAATTCATTTTACTTCGTTTGCTTTCAATCACCTGCTTACAATCTGTGATACTTAAAAATCCGAATTATAAAACAGGTTTAAATTACATACATCAAAGAATTTAGTTGAAAGTTTCTTTGAAGGCAACCAGTATAATATAGAAAGAGTGTAAATAAATCTAATAGACTAAACAAAATACTGTAAATAAATACTTTATGTAAAAGAATATTCTACAACATTGATAGTAACAAAAGTGCAAAGAGCTGGAAACAACTGGTTACGTAGACAGTAAACGCCGATAATAGGTAAGAACAAAATAAGTCGAGCTCAATTAATCAAAATAAGATTACTGAACTAGAAGATAGTCTAAATAAAATGATGTAATGATGTAACTGATTGAATGAAAAAAGTTGAACTAAATTTTATGATGTAATGAAGGAATATTTGTCCCCGAAGTAAAAAAAGACTAACAACTATCTCCCTTTGAACACATAACTGTTTTCTGACACCTGTTAGAACTGACTTTAAAAAACTTCGGAAGACTAGAGCTTGTCTGTCTATTAATCACTTTGAAATATTGCAAGGTATCTACCTGATGTCCTGTATCCAAGAGATGTTTAGTAATTGCACTGTTTAAAGTAGTTCTCTCAGTTGTTTGACAGCTCTTTGGAACATTTTCAAAAAATCTAAGAAAAACCCTCTTTACTGTTTGGTCAATATAGCTTCTTTGACAGGTACACCCAAATTTATAAAAGCGATTGGCAATAACATGGAAAGGCTGTTTTTGATCTTTATTTGGGATATTGAACGCGGTATTTTATACAGTGTTATAGTTGTTAAACAAAACTTATTATGATGTAATCAACTATTCTTTATTCGGTTTCACCAGATTGATTATTATTCATTTATCTAGAGAGGACTTTGACTGTGAGTATTTATAGGTGATAAAAACCTAAAAAACATTAACTTCATGAAAATCAAAACAGTGTCCAATTTTTACTTCATCTAATCCTGTCGTTGAACTTTTTCTAAACTACGCAAACACTTATATTAATAACTGATGTTAGATAGAGAAAACAATCCTTTAATTGTTAACATGCTTAGAAACTACTAGATAACATGTTAAACGTTAACGTCTTCACCTACAATTATCAAACCTTGTTTAATCTTCAAATGTGTACATTGTATATTCTAAACCTCCTTTACAGTTAATATAACATTAGTCAGTGAGATAACTCTATTTAAGCTTATTTGAAAGATTCTATTAATCACAGAAAACATACATTGTTTGTGACAAGACATGCTTTTTGGTGAAAAATACATAATTTTCAACCATCTTTACAGTTGACTTGATTTATTATTAAAGTGTCTTGTTAATGGATGAAATGTTATACTGTTTCATAGAAGAACAAAAAAACACAATCAGAAACTCAGGAAATAGCATAAAATTTTCATACATCAAAAGTATTGCGACAATTCAGGTCACATAGATTATCATCTCATTTGGTTGACTTACATACACATTCTATATGAAACCAATGTAATGATTAATCACAATGATTAAACTGTTCAATGAACAACTCAGGTAAAGTGATACCACTAAATGATGAATGAATTAAACTCAATTAAACTATTTCGCTAAACATTTAGATAGGAAATCTTTCAACAAAGTGTTTGATTCAATGAATCTTTTTCTTTTCTATCTAATTCTAACATCATCAGGATTACTCTACTCTTACTTCCTGTTTCGAATCATTATCATTATTAGCTAATTTGTATGGTGTTTTTCTTTCATTTAATTGATAATACATATAAGAATCTTTTTTTCATAAAATTATGCAAATTATCAAATGTTATTCATTTATGAAAAGCGATTTAAAATGGACAGAAACATTTAAAATGAAATAGTCTTATAAGAAAAATATATTTTCTTAAAAACCAAAAAAGATGGATAGACTGTCAAACCAAGAACATACTTTGATGAGATTGTAATTTATGGACAATTTTTGAACGACTCTAAAGTGACCTTGAGAATGTCCATCTATTAACTAGGATCAAATGAGGTTTATAAATCAGGGTGAAGAACTAGAATTAAGATTTACAGTTGATGGTAATGGTTAGGGATTAGATTTATGGTTTTCATCACAAACTGATATCAGCTATAATGTCAAAATGAAATTTGGCCAAATGTATGGATAAATTTCGCTCCAAAATCCAAGACTTGTTATCTTTTATGTGATAGGTTCGTCTATAAATTATAGTTTCACCCTAATTTATTACTGAAATCTCTGAAAACGTATAACAATTAGCCATAAAAATAAATATATCACTTGTCAGTTGTCAACTATTTTCATCTTAAAATCACTTGGTGTTGTTCGATTGTATCTTCTAATTGTTGTATAGAACTGAAATTGATCAGTCTGTTGTTGAGGATTTCCTCGATATTGCCTTAAATCATAAGCTTTATAAGCATAGATAGATGTTGGCTAGCAGTGGTATCCAAGATGTATGTTTGTTTTTATTTGGGACTGGTCAGCTGGATATACCGACATCAACTAATGGATGCAGTTACATCCATGCGTTCTGGATTCCACTGCTAACCACTATCCGTCTTTGTTAAGACAATATCGAGGCAATCCGAACAGGGTGCATATATGCCAACAAGAGACTGGTTAATTTCAGTCCTAAATATCAATGGGGTGATTCAAAAAAACAATACAAAATAAATCGATGTTTTTTCTTTTTTTTTTAAACATTTAGTTAACTGGTGCATCAATTCAAGTTGCTAGTGAAGCTTTACCAACATCCACAGAAAGAACAGTTACAATATCAGGTACAGCGGATGCAATTTCCAAATGTATTCGACTATTGTGTGATATATTTTTAGAGGTATGTGATTAATTTTTTTGAATTGAAAATTGATATCGTTCAGTTTTGCACTGACTGAAAGATTTTTATCCAACTGATTTGAAATTTCCTGTTTAATATTATGGTGGAGTTAAAAATTAAGATATCGATTTTTAAAAAATAATGATACTTAACGAACTTTGGGTAGTGAACCAATATATAATTTATAATTTCATAATGAAAAGTTATAAAATCATATTAAATGATCATTTAGTTATTTTATTAGAACGGGGTTTGTGGAGATTTTAGTAATTATAATAGTTGAATTCATAAGCTGTGATAAGTGGAGTCCAATCCGTGTCGGGGAGAAACAGGTATCTACCTCAAGCAATCGATGGATGGTTGCTCAGTCATTCATGGATCAATGGAAGTTAGACATTGACACCGTTGGATGCCAACCGGATCAGTGGCCTACAGGTTAAGCGTTTGCGAGCAAGACAGAAGATCCCGCGTGTGAGATCATGAATAAACAATGCTGAGAAGTTCCATACTAGATCGAGACGATCATCCAGTGCTTCCAAGTTTTGCATGGTGGTACTGTGATAAATAGAAAATATATCTCTAGGTAACATGTTAAGTTCAATTATTGACTTACGAGATGGAGTAACTCAGTTTAGTTTTATCTTCCTTTAATCACATGAATATTATTTGTTTCGCTTAACCTCTTAGTTTAATGTGAAAATGAAAGACAGTAAATGTTATTTTGTTTTAGCTGCTGTAAAAGGTGTCAAGTTATAGTCTGTAGTACTTTTTTAAGAAGGTTTCAATAATATTTGCCATAATAAAACGTCTTGATGTGAAATAGAAACACAGTTTGAGTACTCGATTATGAATATACATTTTTTTAAAATATAATAGCTTTGTTAATCTGTCTATTGTTTCTCAGCAGTTTTCTACATCATTTATTAAGAATAGAGTATCACTAACAATCGTTATCATTTTCAATTCACAGTGTCCAAATAAAGGTCCAGTCATTCTTTATCGACCAAAACCTGTCATTGGTAATCCAGGATTAATATGTCCTGCCACTACATTTTCATCTGGTTTACTACATTCAAACTTATCTGGACTACCACTTTCAGTGTGCGAGGTTAGTTACCATGGAAATTGTTTTGTAAATACATATTCAGAGTGAATTAACGCTTAAGGTTCTTTGTTCATCATATTTATGTGAAATATTTGGAGCAATGTATCATTTTACTTAAATATAATCAGTTATTGCTAAATTTTTGTAGCCTCATAGAGGAAGTCTCTAAATTACTCATCATCATCAACTTTTAAAGTCCGGTGAAGAATTGCCTTTAAAGCAGTTTAAAATAATCTATTCCATATAATGATCATGATTAAACCAGAAAAACATCTAATTTTCTCAGATTATCTTTTCAGTATACATTCTAATTTCAAGTCAAAAATATGTAGTTATTAATTTGGTATAATAGAATTTTTATAAAGTATATATATTATAACAGGCATACATTAATTGAATAAAACCTAGAGTAACTGTACATCAGGTTAACTGTGTATGTTTAACTTTGGCATACCAAGAAAAATCTTTCATATACTTCGTAAGTATTATTATTAAGGGTATCACAGAAGGATTGATTGGAATTATAAATAAGAGCAAATAGACTGAGGAAATGAAACGTAACAAATAGCATTACAGATGGGGACTCAAAATGTGATTAAAACAGATCTTAATTGGTCATGAGCTGAGTCATTGACGGTTTTAATTCTTAAGTAACAATCATCTAATGTAAAGTATTTAGTTTCAGAAGACTTGAAAGTATGGTATAGTGGATTCTTCATTTCTCTACATTGTTAATTTTATAAGATAGCTTAGATGGTTCATTTTATAGTAAGTTTATTTAAACCAATGTCCATAATTTTATTTTAGCTCTGAATTACTGTTTTGAGGAATGGTGGCAATATTATATGTTTGTTATACTGGAAAACCTGATACTATATAAGTAACCAGAAATCAAAGAGAAGGAAATCGGATACATTGATAGTGAAATCCATCACGGTTTATTCATTATTTATATCTCTACCTGGTACATATTATAAGAACTTCCACCATCATCATCACTATTCTTTAGCTTCCTTTCTTCTTTCTCTATACTGTGAAAGTTTTAATAAAACTACAGAAATCATCAATCGACCAAAAATTATAAAATGAGAAATTGAGAGACTAAAGAAACTTAGACTTAAAAGACAACAATAGATCGGATCGTTAAAGCTAACTGTGCAACATGCTTTCATATTCATGAATAATCATTTTCTATTTCCAAACAATGTAATACAAGATTCTGAAGAATAATCATAAACAGCTTGAAAGTTCTGAAGCTTTCAATAGACCTGTAGAAATACCATAAGCTAACTTTAGACATATTTGTTACTGTATTCAATTTATCACTGATGTTCCACACAATATTGTTTCACCAACAAAGAAGGAAACATCAATCAGAAACTGAATATTTTTTAGTTTTTTCTCCCTTTCAATTGTTCAGTATATATTCAATAAGAGAAATTTAACATGCGTCTATACATAAATCATACTACATTTGACTGGAATATTCTAATCATTAAGTGTACTGAAAAGGTACTATGGTGCACTTTACAATTGAATGTAAACTGATTTATAAAAAAGAAGAAAAAATGTGAAATTTTTTATGCTTTTCTTTTTCCAGATTACATTGTTTGACTCTTCTTTAAGAGTGAATATGATAGAAGTAGATTTAAAGCCTACACATTATTTTAGATATAGTTTTCTTTGAAGTTCAACAAAGATTGTCTAAATCTCTTCGTCAAATTTCTTAGAAGAAGAAATCATTTATCTTGTAAATATGAAATATTAATAGGGTTATCTTATGTTATAACGTGTGCGTGCATGCCCTGTTTAATATATGAACATGAAGATTCCCTCCAATTGGAGAAAAGCGAATTATCGACCGGAGCACTGATACGCAAAAGCCGTATGAGCAGTCTTGAGTATTTATCAGCCGTCCTTTCTGCCTAGCCCAACCGCATAAGTCCAGAACACCAACAACAGCCTCTGCAATATGAATCATTATTCTCAAACATACTGGGTTTATATACCAATCATACAGACCACATCGTACCATAAAATAGAAAATACCATAAGTACAAGATTTGGTCAAATGTGGCTGTGAATAGCGGGAACAGTAATTAATAGACTGGAGATAACTCAAGAATGGTAAATCGTATAATAATAGTTCATACGTCAAAATAAAGCTTATAACAAAAGGAACATGAATATGAATAGTTAAGTTACTTAGCAATTATACAATAGGAAATATACATATCATATTGGTCCATAAATAGTTCTCAAAGTTACCATTCATAATTCTCCACGGGATATAAGATCTTAAATATATTTTGTATTTGACCATAGTCATAATAAAAGTTAGGTATATAATGTTCTGACCTAATATATTCAGTGAGTCAGTGGGTAAACTTTCAAACGATGCATAAGAGTATATGAATGAAGAACAGTTTAAAAATCTGTTATTTAGTGAATTCCAAAAGCATTTCATATATTCAATGTTCAAGAAGTTGAGATTTGTTGTAAGTACATTCATTCATCACACTTATTCAGTCAGTCAAATTGTTAGTTAAGTTCTATTATAAACCACTTTGATGACATTATCAAAGGCATATAAAATCTGGTACCATAAATCACCTAACATTTATTTAATTTAAAGAGCTACTTTTACTTTATACAATATTTGATCAAACTATGAACTGGTGTCTAAGTTGGATTGAGTTTTGCGATGAGGTAAGAAAAAATAAACATTGATGAAAATTTGACAACTGTATTCCAATGTATCTAACATTTATTGATTAAGAAGACTTCTGATAAATAATGGGACCACCAAAGTTTTATTTGCATTTTATACACCTTTTTTTACTTTCTTTATGAAATTTTGATTGAAAGTGACTACCTATAACATTCACTTGCTCTTCACTATTCATTATTTCATTATTTCATTGAATAAGAATTCACATGAATCAGGATATACTACACCAATGTTAACATCAGCCTCGTTACTATCCAACGAAGTGAACTCTGTTAGTCCAACTGCTTTAAATAGAACTTATGCGAATCAGTTTGGGATACCATCTGGTATTTTATCTGGTGGAACTGGAGTCTCTGGTTCATGTAGTGTTGGCTGTGGTGTCAATAATACATCCATTGTACCTAATCTGCCTACAGCAAATACTATGCAACCTCCTCTAACAGTAATTGGTTCTGGTCGACCAGTAAATCAAATGTCAGATCTCATTTCAGGTGAGGAAATAATTTCATTTGTTTTGTTGTCAGATTTGGAAATCAATAAAACTAACAGAACTGTCAATGAAAGATATAAATAACAGCCTAATATATGTAGGTACTAGCAATATGTCTGGTCCATTGAAAAGAATAATCTGTCAGTAATAAAATAAAACTTTCAATGATATGAATCAATTTCAAGCTTTAATTTATTTATGTCCAGAGTTCCGGATAGCTATGAAGTCATGGCCGTCTACGCTTTAGTCTGTTCACTAAATTATGACTAGCGTTTATATGTACTGATCAACACACAGTATATTTAGTCTTTCGATACCGGTAAATATTTTCTTCAGTGATATATAAGTAAATGCAACTTTTACGTATTTCATTTCTTGTCAAATTGTTATTTTTTACAAAATCACTGAGAATTATTTGACTTATATGCTAGTCTGAGACTATATTTTATGTAATGAATATTAGAACTTATTATTACCAATTATCTGTAATAACATCCAAATTACTGACTAGCCCAAGATTGTTATGTCTTTATGATCTGTTAATTATCACGTGATATGATCACCGATTAGAACACCAACTTATTGACCAGATCGATGACGCGTAAACCAGTACAAGCAGTCCAGTCAACTCTGGATTCTTATTGGTCCACCAAGATAGTAGTTTTTCGCCTAGCCCATCCGGTTTGGTCCAGAACATCAATATCAGCCTCCACCATATGAATCATGTATTTCAGACATGCTGAGTTTATATGTAAAGAAACCAGATCACTTCATACCATAAAATAGAAAATAACAATTATACAAGATCAAGTCAATAAGTGTCTGTGAGTGTGAAACGCTGTAACTAATAAATTAGGAATAACCTAAGAAAAATAAATCCTATAATAGTAGTCAATAGGTCGAAATGGGAGCTTATAATAAAAGGAATACGAATATACATATAATATAGTTACTTAATAGTTACACAATAATAATATATATGTATAATATTAGTGCATCAATAGATCCTAGCGGTTACTATCTGTAGTGAACAGAACACGACTGGTTGGGGACAATCGAATGTATTTAAGCAAAGATTACAGACTATCTCAGTAAATTCTGAAAACCATACAATGTACAGTCAATTTGCAAACTAACAACCAATTGTTTCAATCTTCACTGTTTCTTCTCTTATTCCATTGCTCATGCATTTTCCAGACGATTGCGCTTCATTTCAGTTCTTTGCTCATCGTCTTCTGCCAAAATACATCCTATGTCTGACCCACACCATATACTACTTATATAGATATAAGTAGACCACACCACACTATCCACTTATTTGTCACAAAACAAAACAGAAAACAATCAAGTAATCTTGAACATCTGTTCAGTACTACTTTTAAACAAAATAATTTTGCCAGTATTTATGATCATGTCCAACAGCAATAAATAAGTATTACTTTAAAATAATGCAAGATATTATTTTTTTAAATGACTGTTCACGTCATTAATTGTTTTCAATGTAGATAGTTTGATAATTTCATCTTTAAAAAAATTAAGGTTACTACTATATGATCTCATCAATAAAATGTTGTAATAAATTTTACCTTTTACTTACTTACTTATGCCTGTTACTCCCAATGGAGCATAGGCCACCGACCAACATTCTCCGACCCACTCTGTCCTGAACCTTCCTTTCTAATTCTCTCCAACTTTTGTTCATTCTTCTCATGTGTGTCTCCATTTCTCGGCATAATGTGTTCTTTAGTCTTTCTCTTCTCCTTTGGTCTTCAGGATTCCATGTGAGGGCTTGTCTTGTGACGCAGCTGGGTGCTTTCCTCAATGTGTGCCCTATCCACTTCCATCTCTTCTTCCTGATTTCTTCTTCCGCTGGAAACTGGTTTCCCCTCCACACACAGTAGGTTGTTGATGATGGTGGCCGGCCATTTATAAATGAACAATTATCACTGATTACTTTCGCTAATCAAATTTTTTAAGTATCCATTCAAATAAAATCCCTGTGATTAACTTCTAGATGGATTTCTTGTAGTTCTATTGAGAAGCCATGATCAGTAGAGTACAATCCGTGTCGGGTGTGTGACATTTATCCACCTCAGACAATGAATGAATGGTTTCAAAAGATCATAGATCGATTGAAGTTTGACATTAACACCGTTGGATACCGACCAGCTCAATGGTTTAGAGACCAGAAGTTTGAGTGCAAGACTAAAGGTTCTGCGTTTGAATCCTGAGGACGGGATTGTGGATATACATTGTTAACAAGTCCAACACTAGGATGAAACGGTTGTCTAATGCTTCCACGTTTTCAATGGTGGTCTAGTTTAGATCAACTCATGAATGCAACCATTAAAACTCTGTTTCATTTAAAACATTATCGAAGTATTATTCATAGTAACTACTGAATAATCACTATTTATTACTGTCGTCATTGTCATTATTCTTATCTCTAACAAGACTTCTATCTGTTTACTTATAAAAGTAAAACTTTCATTTTATATAGAAAAATTTCAGCACAAACTACACATTAATGTATAAATGTCTTTGTTTTAGTTCACTTTTTTTTACAGAGAATATACCTAGTTACTATTTTTCTATCATAAACTTATATTCTTTACAAAGTTGACAATAACATCATTCATACCCCTCTATGTGTATATATACAACTTTAAATTTATTTTTTGTTAAATGTTATATTTTTGGTTTAAAATATTTATTGGTTAGTTTAAACAAAATATTCAGTTGTTAATGACAAAAGGTAATAATGTTCTTTATCATGTTTAAATGTCAAACTAAATGACCAACAACAACAACAAAAGTTATAACAGAATTAAGTGATAAAGCTTAGTAAAAATTGTAATTTTCTTTAAATAGAAAGTATATATGTACTAGGGAAACTTATTTTCTCCACCCCCACCAAAGAAAAAAAAGGAAAAAAACAAAAAGGAAAAAAATATAATATAAATATATCATCTGGTTTACTATTTAAAGTATGACATACCTTTAAGTAATTCAATATTTTTAATATACAGAATATTATTATTCTGTTATATCCTGAAGCGATTTATGAATGTTAACTTTGAGAACTATTTATGGACCAATATGATATATATATATCCTATTGTATAATTGCTAAGTAACCTAAGTATTCATATTCACGTTCCTTTTATTATGACTCATAGACTATTACTGTAGGATTTACCATTCCTGATTTATGCCCTGTCTATTAGTTACTGTTCCCGCTATTCACAGCCACATTTGACCAAATCTTGTACTTATGGTATTTTCTATTTTATGGTACGATGTGGTCTGTATGATTGGTATATAAACCCAGTATGTTTGAGAATAATGATTCATATTGCAGAGGCTGTTGTTGGTGTTCTGGACTTAACTGACTGGGCTAGACAGAAAGCTGGACCGACAAGTGCTCTAGACTGCTAGAACAGTTTTCGTGTATCAATAATCCGATCGATAAGTTAGCTGCTCTCCAATTGGAGGGAATGATCGCGTCATATATTAACAGTGTACGCTCGTACACGAGATACCATAATCAGAAATATATTTTCCGATGATAAGTGACATCGGTCAATTTCTTTTCATTTTTTTCCTATTTGAGAAACGTAAGTTTGGAGTCAGCACCAGATATTTTTGTTTTTTTCTTGTTTAACCAGAAATCAGTATAAAAAATAGATATTAGGAATCTTATATTACTTAATTCTCATGTCATTGAATATTTTAACCAGCTTTTGTAAGATTTTCCTAACCATTTTAGTGTTAACCAACAGAATCAACTGACTTTATTCATTATTATAGAGCAAATGGATATGCTATTTGTGTGTGTGCGTGTGTGTGTACTATTTAGTTAACTATTCATAAACATAGTTTAATTATAGCTTAGAAACCCCCTAATAGTGATGTTTTGACTTAAGTTTTTTTATCAATGATGATCTACTAATCAGCTTGACAAGTTGTACATAGAATTAATTATTGAACGTGTTCAATTAGCAACTATTTAAATAACTGATTTGGTTAAACTGATAAGAAATGTTTTAGCTGTCATTTATTTGTATGTCATTGTATAAAACAGGTATGTTTAACTTTATTTCATTAACAGTAATAAATATAATAAAACAAATAAATATTTCCAAAATCGCAATATACCTTATACTTAGTGACAATCTTTGTGACACTATAGTTGGTTTGAAGAGTTCCATTATGAATTATTGATGTTAACTCATTATAAGTAAGTACTAAATATGATCTCCCCGACAGCAATGGAATTAAGCAAATATTCTTCAAAATCATTTATTTATAAACATGTACTTACTTACTCATTTACGCCTGTTACAAACAATCGAGAATAGGCCACCGACTAGCATTCTCCAACCCACTCTGTCATAAGCCTTCCTTTCTATTTCTATCCAGTTTTTGTCCATTCTTCTCATACCTGTCTCCATTTCTCGGCATATTGTGTTTTCTTGTCTTCCTCTTCTTTGACCTTGAGGATTTCATGTGAGAGCCTGCCTTGTGACGCAGTTGGGTGCTTTACTCAATTCGTATTTCATCCACTTCCAGCGCTTCTTCTTAATATTTTCCTCCGCCGGATGGAATCTAGTTTGTTCTCTTCCAAAGTTGGTTGTTGCTGATAGTGTCTGGCCAACAGATCTGAAGTATTTTGCGTAGACAACTGTTAATAAAAACTTGTATCTTCTGGATGATGGCTCTCGTAGTTCTCCAGGTTTCCGCCCCATACAGAGAAACTGTCTTGACATTTGTGTTGAAAATTCCGATCTTGGTGTTGGTTGATAGTCAGTTGTTTTGAGTTCCAGATCTTCTTCAGCCGTAAATATGCTGCTCTTGCTTTGGCGTAATTCGATTGGTGCATGCTGTATTTTATCGGAGAGTCTTGCTTTTCCCTTTGTGCATATTCAGACCTATTGTTGCTGAGGATGCTGCTACACTGGTCGTCTTCTCCTGCATTTGTTGTTGCGTGTGTGACAGAAGAGCCAGATCATCTGCAAAGCCTAAATCGTCCAGCTGCATCCTAGCTGTCCACTGTATCATATGCTTCCCCACAGATGTTGACGTCTTCATGATCCAGTCGAGCAGTATTAAACTTTTGTGATGTTCTCCGCCCGTTGTCAAGTGTTTCTTAAGTTTTCGTTTCATCTTGGCGACCAGCAAGTGATGATCTGATGCTATAGCATCTCCTCTCCTGGTTCTCACATCCTGTATCGTCCTCCTGAATTTTTTGTTGATGCAGATATGGTCGATTTAGTTCTGTGTAGTGTGATCAGGTGAAGTCCACGTGGTTTTGTGTATGCGTTTGTGTGGAAATATTGTGCCACCTATGACCAGTTTATTGAAGGTACATAAGTTTGCAAATCTCTCACCATTTTCATTTCTTTCTCCCAGTCCATGTCGTCCCATGATGTCTTCGTATCCGGTATTGTCCATTTCAACATTGGCATTTAAATCTCTCATCAGAATGATCAGGTCCTTTGTTGGGCACTTCTGGACGATTGACTGCAGCCTATCATTGAACTGATATTTGACGTCTTCGTTGTTGTCGTTGGTAGACGCATAGCATTGGATGACGTTCATCGTAATGCCCTCTTTCTTTGTTTTGAAGGAGGCTTTCATGATCCTTGGTCCTTGCGATTCCCATCCTATAAGTGCATTTTGTGCTTTTCTGGACAGCAACAATGCAACTCCTTCTGTATGTGGGGCATTCTGTTCTTCATGATTGGAGTATAACAGCAGCTCTCCTGAAGCTAGTCGTAGTTGTCCAACCTGCATCCAATGTGTTTCACTGATTCCAAACACCTCCAGGTTGTATCTCTTCATTTCTGCCGCAATTTGGACGGCTCTCCCGTTCTCCCACATTGTACGAACATTCCATGCACTTAAATTAATGATTGTTCTGGTTTTCAGAAGGGTCATCGGCCTCGTGACTTCCGAAGGAACTCGACCTTCACTATGAGGCGTCACAACTCTCCCAAATGAAGCCCTTCTAACTCCCAGGACCAAGTTTAAATGATTTGAATTATTTTTTCTGGTTAGCGTTTTTTTAAACGGGTTAGTTTTCGCTAGAATGGAGTGGCTAACCCTATTCCTAACCCTCCTCCTTTATCCGGGCTTGGGACCGTCAGTAACCCCAGAGAAGCTTCAGGCGGAGTTATTTCTAAACATGTTATTATATTTAATCTACTTTTGTATTGATTGTTGGAATCTTTCCATTGATGTATAGCACTGCAATTGATCAGTTTCTTATTAGCATATTCGCATCTTGTTCGGATTAATGAAACTAGTCTGCTTGTTAATAGCGCTATGGGAATACCAATAATATGAAAAAACCGCTACTGATTTTTCTTTCTATCCTTGTGTTTGTTGCAACGTTATTCAGAAAACATCATTCTTAAACAAAATGCAGCAAAATAATGATGTACTATATAATGTTTAATAAATATACTGCTCGTTAGGAATTTTTAAAAACTCAACCAAGATTTGAAAACACTCAGCGCTATTAATCACCATGATTTTGACTTCATTATTATGACTACTGCAAAATGTATCATTTATGTGAGATTCTTGAAGGATGCATAAGTGACTTTGTGAAAATTTACCCATCTACTAGGATCTAATAAGGATTAAAAATTAATGTAAAAAAAAAGAAATCTGAATCAAGAATAAAAGTCAAAAGTCAGGATTAATGTTATAACTTGTTTTCCGAGTGGATATCTTGTTAACGTATGACGTGATAAGACCGCCAATCAGAGACCAGCGAATTATCAATTGGAACAGTGACACACGAAAACCTTATGAGCAGTCTAGAATACTATCGGTCCTGCTTCTGCCTAGCCCAGCCACTTAAGTCCAGAACAGCAATCTCAGCCTCTGTGGTATGAATCATTATATTTCAAACATACTGAGTTTATATACCAATCAAACTAACTACATCGTACCATAAAATAGAAGATAACATGTGTAAAAGATTCAGCCAAATTTGGCTCTAAATAGGGGAGATAGTAAATAATAGACAGGGCATAACTCAGGAATGGTAAATCATATAACAATAGCTTATAGTTCAAAATAACGCTTATAATAGGAGAAACACGAATATGAATAGTTCAGTTACTTAACGATTGTACGATAAAAAATAAATGCATAATATTGGTTCATAAATAGATACCAAAATTTACCATTTATAATTTTCTTCAGGGATATAACAATTAAGAATTAGAGTTAAGGTTTTCATCACGCATTAACATCAACTATAATGTCATAATACTGTCTAGTCATATAGATAGACGAATTTTGCGTGAAAATCCAAGACTATCTATCGTAAATCTAATTGGCTTATCTATTAAATTATAGTCTTACCATGTCTACAATTTGAAAACAAGATAATTTTGATTGAACATTGACTTTATTTTAATCCTGTTAAAAAAATTAAAGTTTTTATTTAATCTATTTTAATTCTAAAAAGAAGTATTTCTATACAATTACATCTGTCCGCTTATATTCATGTTCATTAATATATAATACATGAACAATTATCCTGCTTCTTTCTCCTTTTTTTTCTCTACAATTTTTATATCTTAATCTTAGCAACAACAACACCAAAAAAATAAATAGTGAAACTAAGTAAAGTAGACTAATCATATGATTATCTATTCACCTGTTGTTTACACATTTTATTTATGTAGTTACTGGGGAAAAAACACCTTTTTGGTTATAGATCTGAAACTCTTCAACTTTTTTCTTCTTTTGATTATTATGAATTTATAGTTAACTCATTGATAGCTACCAGAAATATAAGTAACACTTTTTCTTAAGAAGTTATGATTAATTCCCAAGTTGTTATTTGTTTAATATCACTTAATTCTTAGGATTATTTTGATTCTTTAAAAATATGTCAATCATGTTGTCAATAACCCATGTGACTTGATGTTCTGGTGTATAAATATATAGAGGGATATTTAACAAAAACTACTGAATAATTATTGTCAACTTTAAAGTTTAGAGGGGCTTTTGTGGAGAATTTAGTATTTTCATAGTTGGAATCATGGGTCAATTGAAGTTAGACCACCATGGAAAACCTGGAAACACTGGATGGCCGTTTCGTCCTATTGTGGAACTCCTCAGCAGTGCGCATCCACGATCTCGCCTAGCAAGATTCGAACCCAGGACCTACCAGTCTCGAGCCGTAGCTGTTAAACATTCAATGACTAGTTACAAAATTCATAAACTTTAAGTAAAATGATAAAATATGTAACACATTTATTATACCCTTAGCTATAGGATATCATGAAAAACGATACGCTGACGTATACGACGATTGGTCCTTTTTCTGTCTAGCACTACCTGTTAAGTTCAGAAAACCAATCTTAGCCTGCGTTATACGAATCATATATTTCAAATATGCTGTGTTCATATACAAACAAGTCAGACCATATCATACCATTTTGAATTAAACCAATAAATCTAAGTAAATATAAGAATATTCATTCAAGCATGTTGATAGTTTTATAAATTTCTGCAAATTGTAATATAAAATGTATTATTTTTGTTATTGATTAGAACGTTTATGCTGTTATACATCAATAAACATAGCATAGAAACAAATTAGTTTAAGTTGTTTTAATATAGTCTCTTTTTTGTTAAGAGATTCCAAATATTCTTTGAATAGAATTTATTTTACTAGCAGAATTCTCAATAATTCTAGTATAATAAGCAAAGATAGATAGTGGCTAGCAGTGGAATCCATGACGCGCGTTTCGTTCTATTTGGGACTCGTCAGCTGGATGTACCTGCATTTCGGAGTTGATGTTCACTCTGAGACTCAAAGCCAGTACCTTTCGCTTCAAACGCCATCGCTTCATCCATTCAGCTACTGAGTCCTGATAGCCACTTGCTTGTGCAATTGGGTGAAGTTTAAATTCACATAGTATTGTTTGTTTGAATCTTCCCATTGATGTTGAGGATTGCAACTGGTCAGTCTCTTAATGGCATATGTGCATACTGTGCATATTGCCTCGATATAGCCTTAATCCATCTTTGCTTATAATGCTTGTGAATCAAGGCTATATCGAGGCAATATGCACAGTATGCACATATGCCAATAAGAGACTGACCAGTTGCAGTCCTAAACATCAATAGGAAGATTCAAACAACCAGTATAATTTTGAGAATTACTATACTTCAGATATTTGTTGTATTAAATAGTAGTTAGTTAAGACTAAATAACTAAAAGGGGATGTTTTTGCATTAATGATCAAGTAAACCATATTGTTCTCTGTAACAAAAGTATAATAATTATGTTCATTCTTTATAGAAATACATAGAATAATCTTTTATATCAGATTTAGTTGTAAAAATATTTCATATAATGGTTGACCCAGTATGCAATGCCAAAAAGTTAGTTACTATGGTTTACGTCTAGTAATATATAAATTATATTTACCTAATACTTGAAAATGTACAAGTGTTTCACACAACATTCTGTTTTTTATTATACAATAAATTTTATTCTCTTTTTTGTTTATAGATCAAGTTCATTTGTTTGCTACATTGAATCAATTAGATTTAGCTAACTTTCAATCATATTTTTCATCAATTTTGGCTCCATTACCAAATACAAATCCACTTGCAACTGGGATGCATTCCATGGGACAACCTTTGAATATGCCAGAAATAGCTCTTACTCCTGGTATACTTGGTTGTTACTCAACTCCAACAGCTGCTGCTTTACCAATTGTTGGTTCACCTAATAATTATATGTTTTCTTCACCTGCAGCTCTTCTTAAAATATCAAATAGACTGCCTGAAGATCAATTTACAACATCATCGTCCAACGGTCTTGGTGATATAGTTGTTAATCAATCTGATATGTGCATAAATAATAATAGTAACAATGCATCACCAAATAGTTTATCCATCTCTAATAGTTCATTACCTATTGACTCAAATAATAATTATACACCACTTTCAACTCCAATAGATCCTATAAAATCAATTCGTGGTCTACAGAATACAGCCTCTTTACTTGGTCTTCCATCCCTATCAATCAATACAATTTTGAATCCTCAACAACAAAATTCATTATTTTCTTTAGCTAATACAGAAGAGAGTATTATTGTCCGAGAAATGATTATTTCTAATGACGTGATCGGTTGTATTATAGGACGTGGTGGTACAACAATCAATGAAATTAGAAACGCATCTAAGGCACAAATCAAAATATCCAACTGTGAAGATGGTGCAAAAGAAAGAAAGATAACAGTTTCTGGAAAGTTGGATTCAGTGAATTTAGCTCAATTCCTTATAAACAGCAGGTTAGTGATCTTTGTTATACATTAGTGCTATGTCTAATTTGTTGATTATCACATCTCTCATTTTTCATTCCCTTTTTTTATTCTTCACTAAATAATCTAAATATTCTTCATTTAAAGTGAAAATAGAATATTTGGACATCAAAATGTTCAAATAACTTTACATCAAGCGGTATATTACACCATGAAAGATGGCTTACCTTTAGATTTGCATTAAGCTTTCTAGCTAGAAGGCGGTTTCTTTTTGACGAATAAGCCGATCATTTGGGATTTCATATGTCATAGTTATTTGCTGGACTACTCAGTAAAATATACCCACTTTCCTATCATCATAAATTTCCAAATATTATTATTATTAATGGCTTTATTCAGTACTATATTTTAGTACAACTTAGAATCTTTAGCAAGAGATATTTCAACGAGTTTCTTTAACAAAGACAAGAAAAAGAAAAAAAGTGAAAAAAGATTTTAATCCGTGCAATTTTTCAATTAGAAACATGTTTAAGAATACAAGTTGTCGACTAGGTCAGCTCTAACAACTCGTTCGTCACAAAATATTTTTTATAGATTCGCTATTGTAGAACTTTTATACCTTTACTTGTGTGCATGGATTTTGATGTATTTACATCTCGTTCTACCAGAAGATATACAAGCTGAAAAATATGAATGAGGGAGATGGTTAGTATCTGATAAGATAGTATCTGTCAGGAGTTTACAGAACCTTAGATGTCTATCCATAACCGTATTATTAATGACTTCAAAAGATTCACCACACACTCCAATAACTGCTTTCAGCACTCTCTGCAATACAGTAAAAAATTTTCTAAAAAGCACTGGAAAGAATAATGGAGTACAGTAAAGAACAATAAGTAATATCCAAGAATTGACAAATCACTTGAGTAAATGTCGATATAAAATTAAGTTCTGAAAGTAGTATAAACTCTTTTATTTTAAAGAATGACATAAGTAAATAGAATTCTATAAACTTTCTAAGGAAATTTGTCTTATTCAATACTACTATTGAAAAAATACTTTACTTGAAATTTCAATCAAATACTATTAAACCTAACAATTTTACAGAATAAATTCAATACTTGAAATAATACAATGGATATTTAGATCATGTATATTTTAAAGTATCCCTTTTGTGAATTATTCATTTCAACAAATTAACTTACATCAATTTTTTGACTAAAAATATTTTAATAGTTGAGATCATGAATCAATTGAACCTAGACCATCATGGAAAACCTGGAAGCACTGGACTGGCTCAGTAGGTCTAGTGGTTAAGCGCTCGCGCACGAAACTGATAGGTCCTGGTTTTGAATCTCGTGAGGGGTGATCGTGGATGAGCACTACCAAGGAGTCCCACAATGGGATGAAACAGCCGTCTAGCTTCAATTGATGCATGACTTCAACTATTAAAATTACTATAATATCCACAAAATTCCTTCTGATAAAAAATATTTTCCTAATGGATAGTTAACATTATTATCAGGGATTTATAATTTTAAAAAATCAACGTTTGATTAATGTACATAGATTTGATTTGTTAGACGATTGGTTGATTTATGCATTTCACTTAACGATTGAATCTTGACATTGATGATGTAAATTAAGTTTAAAATATAATTAATTAACTAGTCTACTAAAAATTAAGATTTTTTATTAATTTTAATGCATGTTTAGTTGCTCTACATAGAATTTGCATGATTAATTTATCATTATTTATGCACGTATTTATTTGCTGTATTTTTGTTTTTTTTCTCGATTTTCATTTCTATCACACTCACATCCCCATTTTCATTCATTCTACTTCTACTGATAATAATACTGGTAATTTCTATTTTTTTAAATGGCACGCATGTTGATCTGCAAATTCGCTCATTACCTCCCTCTCTCTTATATCCATACAAATATATACACATAAACATATATACACACATGAATACTACATTACATCATGTTGGAAATATACCATTGACAAAATGAAATACATAAAAATCAATTTGAATGTCCTTTGAACACTTGACAACTTCATCATACAATGTTTTGAAATAATGTAAATATAAAACATTAAAAATCAGCATTGCAATACATCGTGAAATGTGGGCATTCAATGTTCGATTAGCATCAGCTGCAACTGCATTAATGACTAAAAATAGTTTAATTATTAATTCATCAAGTAAACATTCTGAAAATGATAATAATAAGATTTATTTATCTCCATTGAAGAATACTTTTGGTCATATTGATTACAGTTTATTTCAGTCAAATATTCCAATGAATACTACAAATACTTCACATGTGAATTCATCTTCAATACTTCTAGTGAAAGAAAACTTGTCACCAGATTTACATGAACAAACAATGGATTGTTTCCAACCAATATATGAAGATGATAATCAATTAAGTTTGAAATTTAAATCTAGTCATCGGTTAACTAGACGATCAAGAATAATACCTTACTAAACTCAACGACGATTTAGTTGTTTTTTCTAAACAATTTGCAATGCTTGATTTTTGATTATTTATTAAATTTGCATGTCATGTGGTGGGAATTGCATTGCATCTTCATGTTTAATTAGTGATGATTTGAAAACAAGAATCAATTGACATGTGATGAATAAACTTTGCTGTTTGTAAGTAAGGTATTATCTATTTCCCATTAACGTTTTGAATATAATTAAAACCTGTTTCTTCCGGTGTTTAAGTGAGAAAAAGATATCATTAGCACGAATGCTGAATGTATATTACCGTTATTTTAACTTACCCTCTACAGTGTACATTACTTAGAAATCATTGAATTCTATTACTTTTTGGGTTTTTTTAACGATCTGTGACAGGGATGATAATAATAATATTGATAAATATTACGTCTAGAAAAGGTACTCATTAATATACAGAGTAGTTGGTAACCATCGTTTATGCATATTTATCTTGGCTTTGCTAATTGAAACAAACCATTTCAATGGTAATTGATAAAACACATCACTATTTCTCCAAATAAATGATTATTCCCTGATTTTGTCAATGTATACTCCCTTTATTGTTTATTTTATTTTTATGGTATTAATTATTGTTAATAGTAATAATAATACTTAATTTTAAATTTATTTTGTTTTATTTCGCATTACAAAATGATCCATATGAATGGAAAAAATGTATCTTATTATATCTATCTATCTATATATATATTTACATTTATATGAAAAAGGATTTCCGCGGAATTATTGGCCGGTATGATAGCCTTTGTCAATTATTAACATACAATGAAAATCTGATACTGTCATCTTTTATTTACCATAACATACGCATATATATATATATATATATATATATATATATATATATATATATATATATATATGCATATTACGCATAGACATTCATAGATGAAAAGATTATTCAGTAGTACTGAATGTTTCATTAAAGTAGTATATATTTAGAATATTTCAAACAAACGTAATTGATTCCATTTCAAATTTTTTCACTTTTAAAAACAAAACATACATAAAAGTAATTCTATACAATAGTTTCAAAATAGCGTAATTAGACAATTACATACTTACCAAAATTGACAAATATGATATCACATTTATTAATTTCTTTTCTTTATAAATTTGAGCATTATACAATAAAACAAGGAAAAAAACAACCGAAAAACAAAAGAGAACAATGCATGAAGTCTTTGATTACTTTTATTAAATAAACAATAGGGATACTACCCCCCCTAACTTTGATTGATTGAAAGATGTTTCAATATTATTATTACTATTGTTCATTGTTAATGATTCAATAAATTGTCATTTAAATGTATAGTCATTTTGTATACAATTTACTTGACAGAATGATCGTAATTATCAAAAACAACAAAAATCATGTTTATCTAAACACTTAATCTAATGGTTCTCATTATAATTATTACACTTATCAAGTGCCTTCTATTTGTAACCAATTTACTTAAATAAATATTAGCAGATTAATACATAGACATATATATATATATATATATATATACATCACATGAATCGATCAAATCAATACATACTTCAATCAATCGATTATTGTTTTTCTATATAATCAATCATATATATATATATATATATATATATATATATATATATAGGAAAAAATTAATGATAATTATGATCTTCATAAAATCAATAATTCTATTAAACATGTTTATGAAAGTGAGATAAAAATTATGAAACTTTTTAAATAATAATAACAATCATGAATATTATTTTGTTGTTAAATTTTTAATAAAAAAAATATTGACCAGTTAAATTAATTGCTATGGTAACTATTATGATTATTATTTTCAGAAATCAACAGATTTAAATTGTTTACAAAAAAAACAATTAAAAAAATAACAACAACATAGATCATCTGTTGATAACTAGATTTACTTCTTTTCTTTTATTTGAAATATATAAATAAATAAATAGAATGTTATATGTTTATATTGATTGTATTTATTTTATTAATTAATTCATTATTATTAATAATGATAAGTTAGTAATTAAATGAACCATTTGATTGATTAATTGATTAAGTAATTAGATAAGTTATTCATAGTATTGAGTGTACAACGTTACCCTTCTTCTTTAATTATTCCATCTTTATTCTTGTATTCACTTAATTTTATAAATAAATCTATTGATTAATTGTCAATTAGATAGTAACAGAATCAATGTAATGTATATCTTAGTTACCCTTTGAGTATAAGGGAAATAGTTTATTATTCATTTAAATAGTAATATATTTGGAAAATAGATAATTCTATGCCCAGTTCAGTTGATAATAATTGTATGAAAAAAAAATTGTTTATTGTTGTACCAATATTTGTACATGTGTACATAAGTGTTCAATGTGTTCAGGATTATAAAGAATGATACCTCTTTAAATTTATTAGTGAGATATGAAGTCATTATGAGAAATGTTATGTATATGGTATAAAATTATTAAATTGGGAAGAATCTATCATCTTAAACATTTTCTCTGTTTAGTGATCCCATTTGATTTGAAGCAATTAGTCCTTTTGATAAATTTTTGTAGTGTAATAAGAGAACTGAGATTATCAGAACTACTTTATATATTAGCGCAATACATTTCAATCTGATCACACATTAACTTGTTAAGAACATTTATATATAAAAATAGAAGGTCAACAAAACTAGAAATGCACAGTAAGAGAAGACAAAGATAACAAAGAAAATAATATGAAAAATAATTTGAAACTTCATCACCCTGGATAATAAGCTAATAATACCAGAGTACGTTTAAAGAGAAAACAAACTGTTTTTAAATACATGAAGGGGGGTTGAGTTTTCGTATGTCTAAGGCTTCAATAAGCGCTCTTTTGCTTTTTTGTCCAACACCACAAACAACGTGTTAAGATCAATCCTATGGACTGTTTCAACTATGTGTTTGGCAATAGAGAATGTTGGATGTTCATCATCTGGTCGCATTCAGTTAACTGATTTTATTTGTTTCTGCAACCATTTAGATACATGTTCAGACACCTTAATTTGGCGATCACGATTACTACTCCTTATGTATGCGTTGCCACACACACATTCAAATTGATAAACATAGAGGGATATGACTTACACGTTTTCATGTCTTTCAGGTTTTTGATGAAGTATGGACCTTGGTTTTTCCTTGACAATGACCTTTGATTCGAACTACGTCTCGTTAATAACTGATTTGAGACTTTATTTCATTAAAAGACCATTCGAATCATCTCTAAACGGTAAGGTGATGTAGACGGGCATTTTTGTGCCAAGGCTATAGTGGGTTTCATTATACCATGACCTTTCCATCTGTTTATGAATTTTAGGGGATGGCCATTTTCCATTTTGTTTAAAAACATAACGTCATCAATAGCGTCGTTCGTGCAAATAAGATTAATCCTGTTAAATAGTCCTCTTATCAATCCCCGTTTGTATTGCA